TTTTCTGTCATTCCCTAATTGGAAATCACCAACCAGCTTCAAGTAGCTTTTACAGCCATTAATCGCGCTGCTAATAAGTCGTGTCATTTTCGCAATTATAACAATGAGATGCTCGCCCTCAGAAGTATAACAATACACCTCATCTTGTACAATTAGCTTGTTATTGTCATATGTCTCATTAATAGTGTCGGTGACAAAAACTTTCACGCAAGCGACTAGCTCAGAGACCAACGATAATAGCGGGTCCAAGTTATGATCAAGATTGTTTTCGTAAGCATTGCTAAATTTGGCATGAATCAATAAGGAGCAGGCTTTGCTAATGTATAGTAGCTCTCGTAGCAATAAAATAATCTGGTGCACAATTAGCTCGAGAACCTCGCAACCAGCCGCATTGTGTTCAATCATATCCAGGCGCCCTAAAATCAAGGCGATATAAGTGAACAATAAGCCGTGGACTTCGTCAAGCCGTGCCACAGCATGAGGTGGCGTGGTTAAATGCTGGATGAGCTGATCAGATCTTGACGTCGTGTTGCTCATAGAGGCCCCTGTGGTGTGAGAGGCAGTCGAATCTTCGTGCATAGTTTCTAACTCGGAGGAGGTACGATACTCTTTTACAACGCTTGATTGCGTAGGACTTCTACTAGAGCCCTGGAGTCTCTCCTCGGCCCAGGTGTTGTAGAAATCGAACGAGCGCCAAAGTACCGTATAAACCATTTGTTGTAACAACTCCACACGTTGGCTATTCATGGAGCGCTTATAATGGTCTGCCTTGAGCATAAGATTATACCATTCGGCTAATAGCTTTTTGCGACAACTTCTGATCGGAGATTTTGCCTTAACTAGCTCATTGGACCGAGATACGCAATTCGTATCCTCGAGCAATTGCTTAACGCCATCCCTGATGCCGTTGATGTCACGCAACAACGCTTTTATATCTTGCTGTGGGTCCACGGTCTGTGACTCCAGCAGGAACTGCGCAGCGTTTGAGAGAAGCTTTTCCAATGGTCTCCTGTCCATGCCGGTCGAATCTACTGAATTTAGCTTGTAGCTACTGTCCTCTCGCACCACGTCAGCAAAGTAATTGAAGGGCACCCATCCACGTCGACCAGATTTCACCAATGTAACCTCTCCCCAACCAGATTCGTCCACGGTATGCACGAACGCGAGCTCGTTTCTCTCAAACGACAAGCATATGGTCGCGTCTTCCTTGTTCTCGAGCGTCTGCGAATCAAAGGCATGTATGGACACGATAAACAAATACGTCAGATTTTCGACTTGCGGCGGCGTCTTGGCCACCATATCCGCTGGCGGAGCATCCATGACCAAAGCTTTACGACCCGAATCGCTCATCACAGTTCGATGAGTGCCAGCGTCTTCATGGGAAAAAGGATCAGTGCCAGAGGAGTTTCTCGCGCGGTCCATTGAACGCCCTACACTTAAGTGTCTTGAGGCTCGCCAATCGGGTCTCCTCTCGGACGTCTTCCTGTGTGCAGCAGCTACATTCTCTTTGCTTGGTATGGTCTGTCGGCGTTGCAGCCCCTTACTGTAGCTGTTCTCACGCGTAACGCTCTCGCTGTCCTGCTCCTTCTGATTTTTAGTACTGTAATGCGATTCTGTACAGCAGTCGCGGGGCTGTTGCATTTCCGCCACTTTCGTGTCACTGACAGCCCCCTCGCCTTCTAAGCCCGAAATACCTAGTCCGCTCAGTAACCCAGTTGTATCCTCAACAGAGCCACGATGCAGGTCCATGGTGGGAATCCCATTGGTGTAGTTTACAGCCTTGGGGGTTATCTGATCAAGCATATCAAATTTCCGGCAATCTGCGGCGTCATTTTTTTGGACAACAGGCGTCTCCATAGGGTCCATCTCCATCGCCGGAGCTATACGTTGTGAAAACGGCCTCAACTGCGTACTCTGCGAGAGAATTGAGACGCCCTTGGAGCTAGCCGTATGGTAACTGTCCTCCGTCGCGTAGGTGGTTAAAGATAGCGACTCTGAGAACTCGCCCTTCGCATCCCGGTTGCGGCGGGCGTACGCCTCGCCCGTGGACTTGATGGCAGTGGTATCCGAGCTCGACGACAGCGACGGTAGTCTCAGTGGTCGTGTCGGCGATACGTCGTACTCAAGCACGGAGTCTTCCTGGCTGCGGTCTGCCATGTGCTTGGCTCCAGCCCTCGGCATCGCTCCCGGCCATGGCTGCGTTCTCCCCTTCTTTCTGTGGAAGCGCCCGAACATCAGATGTAGCTCTTTCTGCCTGGCGTCGTCTCCGCTCTTTGTTCTGCGCGGCGAACCTCCTTCGGGTTCAATCACAGCGCTGCCTTATACCGCACCTACTCTTCTTAATGGCTGCCACGCTTCTGCTGCTCGACACTGCGGCGGCTGTACCGAACGCTTTCGTTGACTTGACCGTTGCTGTGTCGTCTATTATTGGCACCTTACAAAAGAGGCCTTCTGCACGCTGCTGGTAGGCCCTGGTAGCTAGCTTTGGTCCCTGTTTGAACCCAGAGAATCTTCGATGAGGCCTGACAGGAATGGCCGCCTATAGAATGCCATTTCAACTCATCCTTAACTAGTCTTCTGACGCCATGTAATGAGTCTTTTTGGTAAAACTTCCTATTTGGTAAGAAACCATTTGGTCCAGCGCGACACGAAACCTAAGTTGATGACGTAAGACGAATCTCGAGGCATGGCGGGCTTCAGATATTTCGCTCCTGCAATACGCGCCAGCCGTAAAGAAAGTACAAAGGGTATTAGGTAATTACTTAGGGTATATTAGTTATCAAGGGTAGAACTGACGATGATGCGAGTGTCGGCAACGTGAGCTGCAGAATACGTCAGTCACGTTTGACTTCACTCATGATTTTGAGGCCCTGTAGGCGCTGTTCATACAGAGATGCGAGGCGCGATACTTTATTTCCAGAGGGAATGTCGGAGTAGCTGGTAGGCGAAAACTTAGTAGTGCCGGCAACCTGATGGGTCCTAAGCTTCTTGCGCCGCAACTCGAGATCGAATGCCTGTATCTTCTCGTTCTTGTCAATGGCGAGGCTCCGGATGTTCTCGACAAGGACAAGAGGGTCGGAGTCCCTTCTAAGCCCATCAGTAATCACTGCATCTGCACCCGACTTGGCAGAAGACGGGCGCCGAGAATCGGAGGTTCTCGGGGGTTTGCCATCTGGACTGGCTGGCGGGTCCTTCCAGAGCGTGGAGCTCGAGAGTCTTAAAGAGATGTTGGACGACATGTTTCTGAGCTTCATTGGCGGGGCCGCTTCTGAGGGGGATGCTGATTTGGACTTGTTTATTGAAAGTTCGCTATCTGTTTCGGCGTCGTTGAGGGAGAGGACCGAGGCGTCGGTGGTGCGCAACGAAGGACAGGATGATTTTGTTTTTAGGGTGCTGGTATCCAAGTACATGTTGTTGCTGGAGACACTTGGCCCGGTGGCCTTGCGTGGGCTACCGCGTGTGGGCAGGTCAGGAGTGCACCTTATTGGTGTTGATGTAGAGTTAGGAATCGCACCCGGCGTTGGTAGGTTGACCGGCATACGTTTCGGCAAGGGGGGCGGAGAAGGAGAGCGAGAGGATGGTGACCCCAGCTGCGCCTCATCGGAAGTCTTCGAGCGCCTATGTGCGGATTCTTGTGCGCGAGATGGCAGCATATGACGGGGCAAGCTGCGAGCAGAAACGGACTTCGATCTACGATGTAATCCGTTGTGCTTGGACATTTTGGCTCTTATTCCATCGAAATGGATCAGCAAGTTCCGGATAAAGCGTGTGCCAACAGCTAGACGGTCGCCTGATTTCATGGACACCTTTTCCTTGCACATTGCGGAGGTCAGACATTTGCTCAATGTCATGTAAGTGTGATTGGTGACTTTGGTATTTTCAAGTAAGGTATGGAGAAATGGGAATATGGCGGCTACCAGGGCGTAGTATCCGTTATATGCCATCATTGCAAAAAATGTGTTGTATGTGTACTCAAAGCTATCGTCAATGGGCAACGGGAGCAGGTCTATTGGGAACAAAGGTTTCGACTTACTCTTGATGAAATGCAGGAAAACGGACGCAATAGAATAAATGTCCCATTGAGATAAATCAATATAATTATTCCGCTCAATAACATCCAATAGGATGTTGATTTTCTTGTACGATCCAGGCTTCTGGAATACGAGGGGATGTTGCGGAGCCTCTAGAGTAAGCCGTTTGAAAATCTTATCAAAGATTAGCTGTCGGTATTCCTTCCGAGATAGCTCGCCCTTGGAGCTTCTAAACCAGTCGGGGATCTTGATTGTGTCGTTAATTTCGTAATCATAGAGGTACACATTCAAAGATATCCGTAGTCTTGTAATGTCTATATGTTCGGCCAGCTCACTAAGATTGGAAACATGCACCAGGGTATCTTTAGAATTACCGCCGTTCAGGAATTTGATGTTCATCACATTCTTCAGTACCTGGTAGACTGTCCTTATGAAGAATGACTCGTGGACGATGTACATCTTCTGTAAGTAGTTTTTATTCTGCCTTGGTAACCGTGCATACATTCGGATCCCATCCACCCAATTTATTCCATTAGCAGTGAAACCTGACGAAAACACGACTAGCGAAAATGGCTTAGAGGGAAGCCTGTTTATCAGGTTATCCATAAGCCTATCCAGCAGTATCTCATATACTGTGCTATCGTTGATCGCCGCTGCTGATGGCAAATAAGTCGAGTCGAATGCATAGATAGGATGCCCGGTGGCCGGATCAACTGAATAAGATTCAAATATGATATTGTTCACGTTGACTTCAAGTTTAGTGGGCATTCTAAGTGCTGAGGCTGTGTGGTAGATATACTACTGGAACGATATCCGTTGCTGCTTTTTACTATTAATAGTCCCGTTAATCAACCATAATCATGATGAATTTAGCGCAGTCTATTTTCACATAACGCAATTGTTCTTCGGGTCAAAAATCAAGCGTGGATGGAAAAATAAGGCAAAGCACAACAAAAAAATTAGAAGAAACTCCTCATACGGGGCTCGAACCCGTGACATTTCGGTACCTCGTAAGCTGTACGTAAAAGCCGAACGCTCTACCAACTGAGCTAACAAGGACGAGTTTCTACTGATTTTTCCTTTAGGAACATCAAATAATATGCACTCGTGATACTGTTCACGTGATTATTTCCGCTTTCAGTTTACGACACTGAGTATTGCAGTCACTTAAACCCTTTTTTAAAAACTATAGTACTACATGCTGCCAGATGGGTCTCATTTGTAACGGAACTTCATCTATGTTGCAATGTTGGTGGATCAAAGCCACGGCAAGCGTTCGCTCGAGAATTTAAGTAAATAAGCAGTTAAATTGCAATTTGTATTTGATTTTATTTTTTATTTTTTTTATTTTTTATTTTATTTATTTTATTTATTTTATTTTATTTTTTATTTTTTTATTTTTTTTATTTCATTTTTTTTATTTCATTTTTTATTTTATTTTATTTTATTTTATTTTATTTTATTTTATTTTATTTTATTTTATTTCATTTTATTTTATTTTATTTCATTTTATTTTATTTTATTTTATTTTATTTTATTTTATTTTATTTTTCTTTTAATGTACGTTTTACTACCTTTAGGTAAAATAGCCAGGGCGAGTAGCAATATGGCGACTGGGGTTGTAGTGATAGTTTTCATCACTATCGTGTTAGAATTAGCTCCTTTAAAATGGTTTATTATATTTATTATATTTATTATATTTATTATATTTATTATATTTATTATATTTATTATATTTATTTCTTGGCTTTTTTATATTAATTTCATACGACCTTGTAAAGGTAATAAGTCAATTATGGCCACCATTGTTAGTACTTATACTTCACACGAATGAATATCTAAATTACCAACTGAAATGCACATTCCGCATTGAAATCCGTACTGCTGCTTCACATTTTTCGTGACCAGTAGATTCTATAAGCGCGATATAGACATTACTCACTACAAATGCAGTTACTAATCGCGTATGCAATGTGGCTGCACGCGTCGCCTTTTTTTCGATCCCCTTATCCTCGGAGACTGCTGTCCCTTCTTTGTTCTGTGTTGCTTCTCTTTACGCTTACGCTCATTGGATCCATCCTTACCTATTTCAGCAGTCGCGTCCTGAGCAGGATGCGCCCTGTAGGACATGCTGTTGTATTTAGATCCCAATCCTAGCCGGTGCAACTTTTTCTCTTCGTATTCTAACTCCCAAATATCTAGAGGCTCTTCATCCGCCACGATCAAACCGTATTCTGTTGTATTTTCCATGTAAGTCCATGCCTCGTCAATATCTCTAAGGCCGAGCTCGTCTCTGCAAACATATGATAAAATTTCTGGCGCCAAAACGTAGTGTGAAAAATCAGTAGGGCCCCACCACTGCACTGTCGGATTTCGATGCTTCGAAAGCTTCTCGTGGTATTGACTTAGTATCTCCGTGCTCAAGCGAATCTGACGTTTAATACCAAAATAACCTGCTGTGAATGTTTTTAAGTCTAGCTGTCTAAACTCTTCAAGACTTAGCAAGGCTCTAGAAGATTTCTGGTATGCCTTCCTTGCGTTATCATAATACATCGACGGTCGTTCGCCTCGCAGAATCTCCTCAACATGTGGTATGTATTGTTCAGCCTTGGCCAGTAGCTGATCTGCAAATAACGTTGGCGGTACCTTAAAATTATTCTTGTACCTGAGCCTTACCTCCAATAAACGTTCATACTGTGCAACCTGGTCCTTCATATCTGTGAAGACCATACTTTTGTTGACGCATAGTTTTTGCATGTACTCATCGTCCTTTTGAACTGATGCATTAATGTCTTCAAGTCTGCGGGCGACTTGGATGGCTTCAGAGCTCTCATGCGGTACTTTGTACACCAGGGGCACTGTATTTGGGGAGGATAAACCGGGCTCGGAAAGTGCATCAAGTTCGCTGGAAGATGAAATACTGGAACTGACAGAAGAGTCATCATCACTACTGCTCAATGAACTACTGCAGTTAAGTTCCAACTGGGCATCGTTTGCGGCGCCTTTTGCATCGGTTAAATCTTTTTCATCGTTGCTAATATACTCGTTGTCGGATAGTTCAACACGCGGATCCCCCTTGGACTGCTTATGGGAATGGCTTTTGACTACCATCGCATTGTCATCTTTCATCGGCGTGCCATATATTGCGTTGATACGTTTCCGTCTTACATGAGACATTTGAACCAACGCTTTCTTTACTGGTAGTGCAAGTAGTTTGCCATTTTACAGTAAAGTGATTGTTTTTATAGAGACGGAACCGTCGTAGATGCCATTACAGCTGTGAATAAGTCTCTGCAAGCAATTAGGTATCTGAAGTAGTACAGTAGCTTTAATTGAGTTAGGACCTAGTTGAATTGTTTCAGCTTATAGATATCAACGCTTATTACTGGTTATGTATTTATTTTATTTTGCAAATAGTCACGAACCCGACAAAGGATTGCGAACTCAAATTCGACTTTTGGAATAAATATAATCCCCATTAGAGAAGTACAAGCATTATGGTGCATATTTACTAGAAGCTACAAGAGTATAAACTCCTAGTTTGTGATATCCTATCGGCTACTATGGAGGCTAGAATATTTTATTTACAAGTGGATGACATAATCATGTGCTGTAAATATGGCATAACTGCCTCGTATATGGGACAAACAGAACTATTTGCATTGGCTTCCGTACAGTTGGAACCTTGGTAGCGGTGTGTATCTTTGGCTGTTCATAGGCTATGATTTGAAACAGTATGTTAGTTCTTTCTTGTCACCACTTTGTAATGGTGAGTTTGCGAGCGTCAGCGTGATAAGGTAATATACAGTTCAGGCGTTAGTTGCCAGAACAGAAAATGCGTACTTTGCATTCTCTAGTGCACATATAAAAAGCACTAACACGATGAGGAACTTGAAGCATACACTGTCAGTACAAAATTAGGCTAAGATATACCGAACTTTAATTTCTGAGAAACAGCTATAATAATGTCCTTTCGCTTACCATATTTTGGCTTTTTTGATGCAGTTAATGCTGAGAGAGCTACAGTTAACGCTTACTTAGATGTACCCAAATCAGGAAGCGTAGCCGCTCACCCAGGATATAAGCAACTGTGTGCACATTCTGACATCGTCCCCTCGTTAGTAATTTTGGAGCGCATAGACGCGTATGAGCTCCACCTCAAAGTTCCCAGCGTACTGTCGCCAGAGCGCATAGATATTGCCTTACATCGAGACATAGGCGCGGCGGTAGTTTCTATTGTCGTGCCAGGTACCTACACAGACGAGAACACAGATTGTTGGGGCCATGGGGAACCCAGAACTTCAGAGTTTCGGCGCACGGTGAGGCTCCCGACAAAGGTGGGCACCTGTCTTGGTCAAGTGACTGCTACTTACGACGATGAAGTATTGACTTTGAAGCTCCAAAAACTCGAAGCTTCCGCTAATACCACTGTCGTACACAGAATAAGAATAGAAGCAAGTTCTCGCACTAGATGATACTCGTCATTGTTAATGGCGCGCTTGGACTAATTGAAGATAAGTACAAGTGTATTAATTATTTAAATAACGGTTGAATAGTCAGACGTGGAACAGAAGACTTTAGTACTGTCTGTCAAAGCCTCTGTGGCGGCTAATTAATATAACCGCCTGCGACGAAGACGTAGGGTAACCACTTTTAATACAGGAAAATCTCAGTTATCGACGACTTTCAAGAATACATCTACTTATTATGTAGCTAGCCACATCAAGTCATAGCTTAAGTTAGGCAGTACTATCTTCGATGGAGGGTGGATCGAAAGCCAACAGTGCTGGCTCCAATCAAACTGAATCACTTACGCCTGAAAGGGTTAGCAAGCTTTACAAAAGATTTTTTAATGTCTGGAAACAGCGAGCAGTGAGGATACGCGACGAGCACTTCCACCGAATGGAACATCCATCTAGGTTGGAAAGGCGTCCGACAGTTAGCAATCGGGTAATTGCCCTGGCAAGTAATTCTGTGGGCTCACTGGCAGCATGGGCGAGGACGGACGGGAGTGTTACTGTAATGGATGTTACAACGGAAAGATACAGTTTCACGATAAAGGAAGCGCACGGCGCAGGCAAGTTATGTCTTTCGATCGCATGGAATCCTATCGAAGCCGATCAGTTTGTGACAGTAGGTAGTTCTACCTCTGTGAAACTGTGGAACGCTTCGGATAGCAAAAACCCATTGTTAAAAACTTTAGTTACTGGGCCAAGAACTAAGAATCATAAATGCTTATTTGATCCCCTAGGGCAATGGCTGCTTGTACTCACGAAGGCTGGTGAAATATACTTGTATGCTGCAGGAGAAGGCTACCAACTGCACTCAATATCCAAGATTCAAACCGACCATGAAGCTGACGTGGGAAGCTGTGATCCCGTGGAATCAGTAGCATGGCTAAATGACGGTCAGCATATTGTAATAGGATTTAAGCTTGGATCTATAAAAATATTTAAGCTGGGACATTCTGGATTTGAAAGTCGTAACACGATGTTGGGCCATTTGAAAGCCATCACTTCACTCGCAGTCGATCCATGGGGCTTGCAATTTGTGGCAGGCTCTGAAGATGGCTCCTGCTCTCTATGGTCACTCAAGGACTTTACCTGCAAGGCGGTGCATTCAGAATCTGAGGGTATTGTAGAGAGTGTTAGCATTTCAGATGACGGATTTGTTCTTGCAGTGGGATCGCGGATGCCATCAAGAGAACAGAGTAAGTTCACGTTTCTTACACTGATAGGCCAGGAGAACATGCATGAAATTACGTTTACTAGTAATGCCAATTCGTTAGTTCACTTTATCCCGGAGACAATGAAAATACTTTTTACTGAAGAAAGAGATATTGTTACTATACTCAAGTCATCTTGCAGTTCCGTGCTAAATACCAATGAGGAGTCTGAGAAGATGGAGGCAGGTTTATCTGCTACAGCAAGCGTTAAGAGGATGATAGCTACTAGGGACGAAGATCGCAAGTCATCCAAGAAGCGTAGAGCGGATAAGCTGCGCTCAGTAGAACGGAGTAAGGAAACTAGCGTACGAAGCAAACTCGATGACGGTGGAAG